GATGTTGATGTTTTGTGAGATTGTTTATGTCCAATGGGAGAATAGCATGCCCTACCTTCCCCCAGGCCTGCTTCAGACATCATAAAGGCCTAGCTGTCAGTGTCAAGTAGTTTCCAAATGTTAGGGGCTGCTTTTTTCTTCCTCAGACTCTAAGAATCAGCTGAAACGTGTTCATGTCCACTGTACTTTTTTGTAATTCTAGAATTTAATTAGATCGTACATAAAACACTTAATGTAGAAACAAAGAGGAATTATTTCTATGAAAACTTGAACATTTTCAGAAAGACATTACTAAGGTGAATTGCTAAAAACATTTTTAAATTGCTCTTTAAAAAAAATTGCTCTTAAATTAGGAATGGGTAAAAGACGAAAACAAGCCATTCAGAACACGTTTTTACCAGAAGCGTTCTTTGTGCTGATTGCTTTACAAGTATCTTCTGATTTCCAGTCCACTTTAAAGAAACCCACATTGTAGATTGAAATGATACATCATAAGTATGATGTATACAGTAAGGTTGGTGTGGAACTCTTTATCACCAGAGCCACACTCACAGACAAGGAGTTGGCCTTGTGACAAAGATTAGTGAATTAATATACTTTGATATGTTTTAAGGTATAAAAATATTTGAAGTATGTATATGTTCGTTTTTGATTCCTCACTTGAAGCAACATTTTAAATTAACCCACCCACTATAGTTCTGATTGTCAGGTAAGAGGCTTTTACTGTGGAGGAAAAAAAAAATACATGAAGATTTAGGTGCAAAATTGTTTTTTGGTTTTTTTGTTTGTTTGTTTTTTTAGGTGCAAAATTATTCATCAAAACTTTATAATAGGGCAGCCCGGGTGGCTCAGCAGTTTAGTGCCACCTTCAGCCCAGGTCGTGATCTTAGAGACCAGGGATCAAGTCCCATGTCGGGCTCCCTGCATGGAGCCTGCTTCTCCCTCTGCCTGTGTCTCTGCCTCTAATTCTCTCTCTCTCTCTCTCTGTGTCTATCATGAATAAGTAAATAAAATTAAAAAAAAACTATAATAGTAAAAAAAAGAAAGAACCTAAGTGTTTATTAATGGAAGTGATGAAATTATAATCAAAAGTTGAAATAGTATATAATTATTAAAGGTCATTTTTCATATACTGTCTTTTAACAAGAAAAATGCTCATACAGTGTGAAATGTAAAGAGCAGATCACAAAACCAAATGTGGCCAGAATTTTAAGAATGTGGATGTAAAAATATTAAATGCAAACAAAGTGTACATGTATAATTTGGAAGGAAATGAACCAGGAAATTAACAGTTTATGCCTGATGTTGGGATATCCAAGGTTTTAAATTTTATTCTCTGTGCTTTTCTATACTTTCCAGGTATTCTGTGATGAGTATATATTTAGTATTTTTTGTTTTGTATTTTTTTTTGATCAGGGGGAAGTTCTTTTTTTTCTTTTTAAAAATATTTTACTTAAATTCCAGTTAGTTAACATACAGTATAATACTAGTTTCAACTATACAATTTAGTGATTCAACACTTCCATACAACACCTGGTACTCATCACATCAAAGGAGAAATATTTTTTTTTAAAGTTTTTTTTTAATTTATTTATTTATTATAGTCACAGAGAGAGAGAGATCCCAGGGATCCCAAAGGAGAAATATTTTTTAAGAGTCCCTGGGTTGGCAAATTTAGAATTAAATGCCTTTGTTCATACCACTCTGGCTCTTTGCTCAGTGTGTTTCATTCGGTATTGGGAGCTCAATGAAAAAGAAGCTTTATGTTCTCAAATGAGAAAAAAAAGCAAAGGCACAGGCATGATCTTTTTTAGGTTGAGGGTCCTGTGGATTTAATTGACAGGCTAATGTTTCTGACCCCTAAGGCCTAGTGTAGATCTTATCTGTGAATCAAGCTTTTTCTGATTGCTCCAACCCCCACCCAAAAGCAAAAGCCAAAGCCCCCTTTTTTATACTCTGTGTTAGTGTTTACCATGCTTTGCTTAAAACAAAAACAGTGCATGTATCTTTCTCTTCCACTAGCCATACTACATTGCATGATCCTTGGAAGGAAGAAGGGGATGGCCACCTTTGTATTCTTAATAGCTAGATCTTTGTTCCTCAGTAATTGACTATCTTTTTTTTTAGCATGATTTATTTATTAATATTTAACATGATTTATTTTTTCAGAGAGCATTTTGGAGAGAAAATATTTGTTTTTTTTTAAGATTTTATTTATTTATTTATTTATTTATTTATTTATTTATTTATTTATTTATTTATAGAGACACACAGAGGGAGAGAGAGAGAGAGGCAGAGACACAGGCAGAGGGAGAAGCAGGCTCCATGCAGAGAGCCTGACATGGGACTCGATCCAGGGTCTCCAGGATCACACCCTGGGCTGTAGGCGGCACTAAACCGCTGCGCCACCGGGGCTGCCCTTGACTAACTATCTTGAACAAATGTACAGTAGTAACCCCCACAACATGAAGATGTCTTGAAGGAGTATATCTTAAAATTTCAGAGTCGGTAGTTTAAAAAAAAAAAAATGTTCTCAAGGGCCCAGTCTAAAACCTAGCAATCTTTGGAAAGAATAAATGACAGGAAAGCCAACCTGTCAACAACAGACTTAACATTTTGCCTGATGATTCTGGAATGTTTTCACAGTAGACCCATGTGTAAGCATATAAATTGATGTAGCCATTTTTGAAGGGCAATTGGACAATATATCTATCAAACTGAAAATACACATCACCTTTGCATTTCTAGAAATTTACCTTCCAAATATACTAGAACAAAGGAGACAATCCTATATGAACAAATATCCTTATTTAGAATACCATTGTTAATATGTTTCTCAATAGGAGAGAGACTGGGATATTATGCCACCATGTAGGATGAGGTAGATCTGTTTGTATTTACGATGATAATGATGGCTCTATACCCAATATGAGGCTTGAACTCAATCCCAAGATGAAGAGTCACATGCTCTACCAACTGAGCCAACCATGCACCCTCAATTATGATGGCTGTTCTTTATTAACCCAGGCACCATGCTATGCATTTGACATTTTATCTAATAATTCTTATAACAGCTATATGGCAGGCACTATTATTATCCACATTTTGCAGATAAGAAACTGAGGCACAGAGGTTAAATAATTTGCACATCACTTGTAAGGGTTTGTTATTTTAATCCAGGTAGTCTAAGCTTAAAACAGGGTGCACTTTTAACTTCTAAAATGCATATTCTCCTTTCTACTGATGGAGAAAAATCAAGATCTATATTATTGGGGGGTGGGGTGAACAGGGAGAAGGGACAGAGAGAGAATCCTAAGCAGGCCCTGTGCCCATGCCCACTGTGGTGGAGCCCAACCTTGAGATCATGACCTAACCTGAAACCAAGAGTTGACTGCCCAACTGACTGAGCCACACAGGTGCCCCAAGATATATATAAAATGAAAAGCTGAGTTGAATGTATAGTATGCCGTCATTTGTGTCTTAAATTTTTTATAAAAAGTGACAGCATACGCCAGAAGAATATAAAAGAACAAGAGTGGCTTCTTACAAGGAAGGAATGGATGCCCTTTCACTTTATGTCTTTCTTTGTGTATGCTTTAATAATAGGCATATATAACTTTCAGATTTTTAACTAAAATAAGTATCTGATCTTTTGAAAAATTGTAATACTTAATGAAGACAAGCTGTAGTCCTAAGTCGCAGATGCTTAAATGCATCCCTACTTACCTACTTAGGTATAGAGTTCCCCTTACTTTCTAATATCCTACTACCCGTTCTCAGTTCAGGATAACAGCTTTCTTCAAAATTCATTTCCATTGAGATTCAATGTTTACCTGAATCAGACCTTAAGTTTTTTATTGACATAGTACCTCATTCTTGTATTTTATCCCTTTAAGTCACCTACATTTTTATTGTTTCCCAAAGGATTTGAGACTGCTTATTATAAGATATAATTTCAACTATATGGGCTAATATACTTCTACAGTTGTGGAGTAAAGTCAACTTTTGATTTCCTGGAAGTAGGAAAAAAAAATTCTGAGTTCAGTAGTTCTTGTGATTTGACAAAAGGACACATGACTGTTTTGCTTAAAAAAAAAAAAAAGATGCTTTTTTCTTTTATTAAATTTTGAGAAGATATCGTTCATGGGGCCTTTTATGCAATTTATACCTTTCCAGTTTGTTGTTTTTGTCTACTCAACTAAATTGTAAGCATCCTTAGGACAAATTCCATTTTATTCCATACTATTTTTGTTCTATCTATACCTAGAAAAATGCCCTGATTATTATGGTGGAAAATTTTTTTAAAGATTTTTTATTTATTCATGAGAGACACAGAGAGAGAGAGAGACAGAGACACAGGCAGAGGGAGAAGCAGGCTCCATGCAGGGACCCCAACGCAGAACTCGATCCCGGGTCTCCAGGATCAGGCCCTGGGCTGAAGGCAGCGCAAAACCGCTGAGCCACCCGGGCTGCCCTATAGTGGAAATTTAAGCAACAAGTGCAACCCAGCTACATTTCAAAGATTATGTTATTACCACTTTTCAAAGATTCAATCTTTGAGCAGTTTAGAAATTGATACAGGGCAGCCCAGGTGGCTCAGCGGTTTTGCGCTGCCTTCGGCCCAGGGCCTGATCCTGGAGACCCGGGATCGAGTTCTGCGTTGGGCTCCCTGCATGGAGCCTGCTTCTCCCTCTGCCTGTGTCTCTGTCTCTCTCTCTCTCTGTGTCTCTCATGAATAAATAAAAAATCTTTAAAAATTTTTTTTAATTAAAAAAAAAATTGATAACAGCTTTCATCCTTCTCAATAGGGAATCTTCTCTGATCACCCTCATAAATCACAGTTTATTTCTTGGTAGCTTTTACAAGGTTCTTCTGTAGCTCCTACTTCCTGAGTGGGTAATATAAAGAGAATAGGAAATTTGTTTGAACTTGTGTTTTATGACAGTTAAGTATTTTTAAATATGGCCTACAGCTTTCAACCACCTTTTTCTTTCTCTTAGGCCAAGTTATCAAGGCATGGGACATTGGGGTGGCCACCATGAAGAAAGGAGAGATCTGCCATTTACTGTGCAAACCAGAATATGCATATGGCTCTGCTGGCAGTCTCCCTAAAATTCCCTCGAATGCAACTCTCTTTTTTGAGGTAAGTATGTGTGTGATGTTGCCTTGTTAGCATCTGTTCTACTATAGTGCTGGCTCTGAAGCAACAGGCAGTGGAACAAGGAGCTAAGCTTGCTATTGAGGATCAAATCCGACTTATTTATTTTGGAGCTTGGCTTCTTGAATTGTTTCCCACAAACCCAAGGGGTGTGTGCCAATGCTTTCTTAGAAACGTGTTTCTGGCACAGAAAAGTTATATCCAAATAAACAAAAGACACCAGGCTTGAGAAATAAAGGTTCTGGTCAGTGGTGTGAGTATAACATACCCAAAATTGACCAGAAAACAGGTTGGAAATGTGGGAGGTAAGTGTTGAAATGTACTGAAACCACATTGTAAGATATTTTCATGTTATACAGGCTTACTGTTTGTCACAGATCTCACTTCTTCATTAGAAGCTGTAGGTGGTGATAATGTTATTCATCCTGTGTTGAATTATATATATTTGTCAAGATCTGACTTAAAAAATGAAGGGAGGAAATGCCTGAAACATCATAATTAGGTAAAAAAAACACCTTTAGTTGTCCATAAGCCTGATTCATAGGATTTATTTTTACATTTAAAAAGGGAATTCCATGAATCTGGGCTGGAAAGGTGGTGGCCTTTAGAGTCCGACCAAATAGTTCTGGGCCAGCACCTTGGAGCTCTGGCTTTTTGCCCACAAGGCAGCCCTCCTAGTGTTTCCTGTCTGTCTTTGCACTGCAATCCCACAGGATGCAGTCCTAGACATTATCATTACATGAAGGCTCTTTCCAGGTATTGAAAGTGCAGTGTTCTTTTTTTCCTACTTTTCCAATAACTGAGATACATAGATAAATATAAAAGAGTTTTATTTTGTAAAATGAAAGAATTGGTTGCCCTTGTTTTTAAGTATGTTAAATTGGCTCTGTTTGGTCTTTTCTCAGCCAAATCCTTTTTTTCCTTTCTAGATTGAGCTCCTTGATTTCAAAGGAGAAGATTTATTTGAAGATGGAGGCATTATCCGAAGAATCAAACAGAAAGGAGAAGGATATTCAAACCCAAATGAAGGAGCAACAGTAGAAAGTAAGTATCGCTGTGACAGTGAACTGGTCCTTAAAAATTGGGTTCCATTTATAGGGAGAAAAGGGAGGTTTCTTTCTAAAAATCTATTTATAGCAATAAACAATTGAATATAGCCCGAGAATAGTTTTAAATTCAACATTTATTTAATACTGACTTTATTTGGTAAATATTTATCTAGCATGCCCATGCCAGGTACTGTGCGAGCTTCTGCAGACCCAGAAGGTGAAGAAAAGGTAATCTTATCCATCAAGTCCCAAGTCTATGGACTCCTTGGTGTGCCAGCAACTATGTTAGCTGCCTTACATATTTATTCATTTATTTCTTAAAATAACCTTACGAGATAAGATTTATTATCTCCAGATGAGGAAAATGAGTTCAGGAAAGTTATATAAATTGTACAGAGTACAGAGTTCTAAACAGAGCAGTTAGCTTATAGTGCGCTTCAGAGCTCTCAAAACCCATCTCATTGGCTTTCCTCAAGGTCAAAAAGTTTATTTTAGTTAGATCATAATTGATAATAGTGTTCATTCTATTCTGTGTAGGAAATCTGGGTTCAGGTTGCTTTGCCATTTACTGGATGACTTAAAGCTATTCCGTGTTTTTATTTGCTGTGTTGGGAGTAAGGAGATACTGTCAAGGACTGGGATACCCGGTCACTCTTTGTTCCTCCCAGAGCCTGTTCTGTATACCATTATGTACATCACTTGCTACTTTATGCTGTAATCAGTGTTTACCCATTTCCCCAGTATGCACCTTGAGGACCAGAATCTTTCTTCATCTTTTTGTTTCCAGCATCACCTACCGGGCCTTACATGCATTTGGTGTTCAGTAGATGCTTTCTGCGTGGATAGATGTTTGAAAGATGCCATTCATTTGCTTCATAAAGCTGAAGTACTTTAAAAAGGAGAGTTGTGAGAAAACAGAGAGAAATATTTCTACTAAGAAAACAATCAAAGCACTAAACAAGGGTGGCAATATGAACTATTATAAAAGGCCTATTTAAAATAGAGTCCAGGGTGCCTGGGTGGCTCAGTCAGTTGAGCATCTGCTTTCAGCTCAGGTCATGATCCTGGGGTCCTGGGATTAAGCCCCATATCAGGCTCTCTGCTCAGTGGGGAGTCTCCTTCTCCCTCTCCTTCTACCCTTCCCCCTGTTCATGTTCACTCTCTCTCTCTCTTGCTCTCAAATAAAATCTTTAAAAAAAATAAAAATAAGTTAGAGTTCCTTTGGAACAGTAAGCTAGAATGGTTGATTTTCTTATCTTTAGACCCATGTTTCATTTTGGGGAGTCTGGAAGATTAGTTCAAATGGAGTTATTCATTTAGTTGGAAACAATTATAAATAGTATTACTATATTATTGCAGTTGAAATGTTTAGGTAGCTATCATTCATGGTAAGTTTTAGAATAAACAAAGAGGAACTCAGATGTTAGAGAAATACATAGACCAGTAGTCAGAGAGAGGATTCTGGCTTCAGCTGACTCTAACTAACCCTGGAGTCTCTAGGCTTTAGCTTCCTTTCTTTACAGTGATCCTGTAGGTCCTGCTAGCTCTGAGCATTCCATGATAGAATTCTATGTGTTTATGAAAGTCACAAGGATGATAGAAAATTATCTTTAGCAAGTATGTGAAAAGATTATCTATACTACACATTTTAATTTTTTAATAAAAAATTTCAGGCATTTACAAAAATGGAGATTTTTCCCTATGTTACAGTTACTCCTCAGATTCAACAGTTTATAATGTATATTTCTAAACTGGAGGATTTTGGTAACCAAATTGAAAGGAAAAACTTTTCCCAGTTATAAACAATGCCGCAAAGCTACCACTGCAGAGTTAACTTTGGGGCAGGCTAAATTAAATCAGATCTTGCTTTTAGTAGTATTTTCAGTGGGAGTCTTTATTTTCAACTTTCTGTTTTAAAATAATTTTCAACTTACAAACTGTGAAACTAGTACAGAGAATTTTCTTATATGCTTCAAGCTTTTCCTAATGTTCACATCATCCCTCACCACAGTACATTTATCAAAATCAGGAAATTAACAAGGAGCAATACTATTAACTGTTCTATAGATCTTAGGTGAATTTCATCAGTTCCCACACTGATGTCCTTTTTCTGGTCCATGGTCAGATTCAGGATCTACTGTGATATGTAGTCTCTCCAGTCTGAGACAGTTGGATCGGTCTTTCTGTGATTTTCATTATTTTAGCACTTTTGAAGACAACCGTCTGGTTATAAAATATACTTCAGTTTGGGTTTGTCTGATTAGATTGAAGTTACACATTTTTTGGAAAAATATCATATAAGCAATAGTGTGCCTTTCTCAGTTCAATCATTATCAGGAGGCATGTGATAGTGATGATGTAACTTGGGTCCCTTGGTTAAGGTGGGATCTGCCAAGTTCTGCTTTGTAAAATTTCCTATTTTTGCCTTTCTAAGTATCTCATTGGGAGAGAACTACTAGGAGATGGATGATCCCAAGATCTTCTTTTACATTACACCTTAACAGTGATTTTAGCATCCATGAATGATTTTTTTTCCCATGGATGACTTTTGTATGCAACGGTTATAACTGTAGTATTTGCCTAATGGTGATTTTTCTATTTCCATTGTTCCTACTTCAATGTAATTGGAATTCTGCTATAAGGAGGGGTTTCTCCTCCCCTATTTATTCAGTTGTTTATAATAGTATGGACTCGTGGGAGTTTATTTTATTCTGTAGGTTATTATTCATTGCTATCTTATTTATGTTGTTGCTCAAATTGTCCCAAGTTTGGTCATTAGAAAATGCTTTTCAACATACCTCCTGTGGTTTTTTTTTTTTAAGCACTTCCTTAATTTTTCCTTTTTATTTCTCTCTCTCTCTCTCTCTCTTTTTTTTTTAAGATTTTATTTATGGATTGCATAGGTAGCTCAGATGGTTAAGCATCTGCCTTCAGCTCAGGTCATGATCTCGGAGTCCTGAGATTGAGGCCCATGTTGGGCTCCCTGCTCAGCGGGGAGTCTGCTTCTCCCTCTCCCCCTGCTCATTCTCTTTCTCTCTCTCTCTCTTTCTCTCTCTCTCTCTCTCTCTCTCTGTCTTTCTCTCTCTCTCGTTCTCTAAGTGAATAAATAAAAAACATTTTAAAAATTATTTTATAAAAAGATTTTACTTATTTATGTTAGAGTAAGCTGGGGGAAGGGCAGAGGGAGAGAATCCCAAACAGACTCTGTGCTGAATATGGAGCGCAACCCAGGGCTCAGTCCCACAACCCCGAGACCAAGACTCTTAATGAAGCTAACAGTTGGATGCTTAACCAACTGAGCCACCCAGGCACCTCAGTACTTCCTTACTTTTGGTACAGGATGCTCTCATTTGCCCTGGGGCTGGAATCAGCTATTTTTAAAGAAAATCTGATTTCTTTTATTAGAGAATGGTATTTAGAAACCAAGATCTAAGTGCTAGGTGGTATACTCATACTATGGAATGTTATTGTTTATAGAACCTCTCAAGTAGATGGATGTAGGAAATATGTGTGCCTCAATCTGCATAAATATACACAATCAAATTTATTCTTTACCAGTCTGTGTATATATATTACAAACTATGAGTACATCCTAACCCTTCTATTTCCAATCCAACACCACAGGTTCATTCTCACCTTCTCCCTTTGCTTATTTAAAACAGCATTCTCCAGCAGTGAGAAACCTCACTCTCATTATCCACAATATATTTGCTTACTGCTTAATTATAGTTTATATAGAACGTAGTTTCAGAATTGCTAACCCACATCTTGTGAAAAATAAGCTTCCTAAATATGGGAAATATTTGTGTACGGTTCCTTTAGTCATGAGCCTTAGAGCATACATGAAAACACTGCTTTCCAACTTAGGTTAGTTCTTTTTCCTCACTCCCTTCAGTGTGGTTATGCTGTTCATTTATAATGCAGTTATGTTCATTTACATTTATGTTCCATTTAGGGTCCCACACACACTCTGGTTGATGTTTACTGTTTGTGTTTGGTGTAGGTGAAACATTACCGTGATTCTAAACTATACAAAAAGATATACACAGAAGTGTTTTTCCCCCTCATCTCTACTAACCTGTTCCCATTTCCTCATTATTTCCACCTTCCTTCCTACCTACCTACCATTGGTCACCAGTCATATAAGTTCCTGGTTTATACCACCTGTATTTCTTCTGTACAAATGAGCAGGTACCTGCATTTCTTCTCTTATAACCCCTTCCTTTTTGTATGAAGAGTAACTACTATCAATGGTTTTTAAAAATATTTGAATAGTTCTTTATCTCATTTTACTTTTTTCTGTTTCCAAATATCTTAAGAAAGGGTAATGACTGATTGTTGTCTCTCATATTGTTAGGCTGTACTTTCCTGGGAGGTTTTAGAGTAAATGGTTTATTTTTACTTTTTTTCCCAAAAACCTTTTTTGGTTTACTGGAACAAATCGGTTTTATAAAACTATATTATATTTTCACTTATCAAGGGTAAGGTGTTCTGCTTTCCCTCTTTGAAACAAGTTTGCTGTGTGTGGGAGGAGGACAGAGGGTTGACTTAAAAGTGGTCTCTGTCCAAAACTATGATCACCTTGTTCTTTGGGAGTCTTCTTGGTCCTTACAGGTATCCCTTTTCTAATAGCGTCACCTGTACACTTAGATTCAAAGCCAGTTCTGCAATGAAGGAGAATGGGAGACAGTGGTGATCCATCATATAATATATCATTATAGATACACAAGAGTTACAGAGTGCCTGTCACTTCTTTGTAAAGGTACAGTGAGTGGTCAGGGGAGGGGTGCACAGGCTTGGCAAGTGGTAGACTTGGTTTCTGAATCTTGGAATCAGTACCTGATATTCTTATGACTTGAGACAAGTTACTTGACTAGCTTGGGCATCCAGATTTGTCATCTATAAAACAGGAATGATAATCTTTTTTTTTTAATAATCGTTTTATATGTAACACAGAACAATTAATTTCTTTTTTTCTACCCTCTATATTCTGCT